GTGTCACGCTCGTTCAGCGGCCTCGTTTCGCTTCGACGACTTTCAGCCTCACCCTGCTTCATTCTACTACGTTAATAAATCATTAGCTCATCCATGAACATGATTTCTGCCTGAGTCCCGTCGGATTGCATCGGCTGTGGGGACGAAGACCACAACTCCCATGATTCCACACTCAGTCACAGCGTCATCAAACTACACCTTTGTCTATTTGTTTATTTTGAATACGTGCCCTCTAGCGGCGAAAATTACATATTGTGCCTTTAATGTGCCTTCTTTATCTTTAATATCTTAGCAAATGAATGTTTAAAAGCATCAAACAGGTTATGAAGGTCGCAAACTGATAGGAAGAGCTTTGTCCGATGATGAGCCACAAGAGCTGTGTTAGCAGGAAACCAACATTAAAGCTGAGAGGAAATAACTCTCATTGACAAACCTAGTCAGCTATGTTTCTGTTTTATTGCAGCTTAGTAGTGTTGTTGACTCAGCATAGATAAGTGTTCCTGTAATGAGAAGGACAGCATGAGGAGGAAGCTGCTCTCTTTCTTTGTAACCTTCCCTTGAGTCCTTGCTCTTGACACAAGCTCTTGCAACACTGATTGAAGAGCTCTCAGTATCTAATAGTGAGATTTGGTTATCAGACCTGTCATTATCTAGAATTAGGGGAACACTTTGTCTACATTTAACATCCGCAGCGTTCTGCCACAGATAGTGTGTGTTTATCTTTCCAACTGAAGTTAAGGTAAATACATGCAATATTTTAGGACTGGGCAATGTATCGAAAATTCACAACGTATTTGGAAATGTTTATTTTTTTAAGCCATATCACCCAGCCCTACCATATTGCCCGTTTTTGAAGATATTTGCCATTATCATTATGCTAACAAGTGCTAATGTTTTCTTCCCCCCCTCTTTATTCATTCTCTCGTCCTGTTTGTGGAACACCCATCTCATCATTACCTCTGCCTTCCCTTTCTCCTCTTCACCTTCTTCCTTTACTTCCTGCCACGGGCCATCATTCCTCCTCTTCCTCCTTCTCCTCCTCCTCCTCCTCCCGGTGGTGTGCAGAGTACACTGCTCTTATCCGAGGCATCAGTGACAGGCAAAGCGTTCCTGAGCTTGGCCACCGCCGCCGCTCTTTCTCCTTCAGTGGTTGGTCTCTCTGATGCTCTGTGCCGCCCGCTGACATTAACTCATAACACCTGTGCATGTTGTGCGGTTGTGTGCTGTTTCTCTGTTCTCTCTCACTTTCGCCCCCTATCTTTCCCTGCTCTTTTTTTATGTCAATGAGAGCACTTGCTTTTATAAAACTGCCGGATATTTTTTTTAAATTGTATTTTATTTTATTATTATTTTTTATTTTTTTAATTTTTTTTAAATTTTATTAATATTGTACTTGTAATTGTTATTATAAAACAGATCGTTGTGACTAAATTCGAATTGGATAAAATAAAATAATAAAATAAAATAAAAATAAAATAAAAAGTGTGTGAACTAATGTAAATGTAAAGGCATAGTTCACCTAAAAATGAAAGTTCTCTCATCATTTACTAATTTTCATGTTGTTCCAAACCTGTATGACTTCTGTGAAACACACAAGAAGATATTTTAAAAGACAATGGAGTACAGTGTTGTTTTGGACCCCATTTATTTTCGTAGTATTGATGAAAACAATTGAAACAATCACAAAATAATATTTTGTGATCCACAAAGAAAAAAGGCATACAGGTTTGGAATGACATGAGGGTGAGTAAATGATGACACAGTTTTAATTTTGGGATACATATCTTTAACAAAGGAGTAAACTGTGGCAAGTAATAGTAATTAGGAAGAATAAAGTCTCCCATTTCCTATTTCTTTCACTATTTGCTCTATTTTAATTTCTCTCCTTTATAGGGCTGCACGATTAATCGAATGCATCACGTGCTTTCAGATGGAGCAGAATTTACTACACAGAGCCGTGGTTCACTGACAAGTTATGCAAAAAAATCGCAGACGATTTTACTGCGCGATTCTGAAATCGTTCGCGATAATGACAGCTGTTTGCATAGCTTCTCAGTGAACTACGGCTCTGTGAAGTAAATGCTGCTCCATCTGAAAGCATGTGAAAATACCACATTTAATATATTTTTACTCCAAACTCACTTCATAACGTCAGTCGAGTGTTTGAAATAAATCCTTCTGTGAGATGATGTGGCTTCTTACACAGAATAAGGCACGCAACATATTTCATAGTATTTAAGCAGTGATAAAGGCATTGCATTATAAATATACTTTATTTTAATGAAAATTATAATAATAA